TCCAGCTGAATGTGCTGGATGAACTTTTGGATCACACGGGACAAATTCTGGGGAAAAAATGTGCTGGGTGCTGTGTGGGGTTGGTATTGCGGCGCGTTCCTGTTTGTAACCATGTTGCTCACAAGGCTCGCTTTGCACTTGACTGTATTTGACTTTACGCAGCCATTTTTCAGAATGTTCAGGAGGCTAGCCCCTGACAATTTTTGATTGTTCTTGGGAGGATTGCCCCCAATTCCATGCCCTCTGCCTTTGTGACACCCGAAGGTGACGCTGTCATTCCAGAACCCAATGTGTGGGAGAAACAAGCTCCAAAGCTGGGGGCATTTGACAGACCTATCAGACTTGCATTGCCCTGCGTTGGCATTGATGGGTGCGGCGAGGCCTTCAGCAAGCTTGGGGTTCCCTACATTGGGGCTCATGTCATGGACATTGAGGATCGCTACAGGGATCATTTGTGCAACCACCTTCCCAAAGGGAGCTTCCTTTTGCTGGGCGACGCAGGTGATGTGGTAAATTTGGATTTGGCTGATCTCAGGCGGCCAATTGAAATGCTCTGCAGTGGCCCTCCATGCCCGCCATGGGCAGGCAATGGATGTCGCGGCGGTCTTGCAGGTGACCCTAGAGCACAAGTGTTTGTTGGGGTGATGAGGCAAATGTTGGCCCTCATCAGTGCAAATGAGCTCAACGCAGTTGTTCTCGAGAATGTACGGGGCATCCTACATGTTCAGGAGGGCCAAACGCAATCTTTCATGAGCCAGCTCCTGAGCTTTCTTCAAGAACATGTCTCTGATTTCAACTGGGGCGTCTGCGTTTTGCAAGCTTCTGATTACAGCCTTGGCCAAAGCAGGTGCAGAGTTTTCTTGCGAGGCCTGAGGGCCACGATTGGTGACTTGCCTGACCCTTTGCCTCCTTTTGGGAAGAAACACTTGAAGGAGTTCCTGGCGACAAATTTGCCACCTGTTGACACGAAGGCCTTGACAAAGACCATGCAACAAAATTTGAGGGACGCTGAGAACGATATTAAAGAAATGTTGAAGAACAAAGAAGTGGGCCTGGAGGACATTCTAGTTTTTCCACTTGATCGTGCAAGCGGCAAAACATATCAAAGGAGGTATTCGACAAACATTTGCCCCACTCTGACCTGCACCAATCGCTACTTGTTTGTGGCCAGCATGGATCTTGCAAAGCCTCCGGAAAAACGAAAGTTCTGGAGGTTTCTTCATCCATCAGAACGGATGGTGCTACAAGGGTTCAGCAAGGACACCTTGGCAGGAAAGAGCGATTCCCTACGTGTCGAAGCTTCTGGAAATGCCTATCCAGTGCCACTTTTGATGGCAGTTTTGCATCCAATTTTGCAGAAATTGAAAGGGGCCAAGTTCAGTGCTGGGGGAAATGTTGATGATGAGCGGGTGACAACGTTGTTGAACAAGTTCGAAGCTTACATGGAGAGCTGTGCAAACCACACCTCAAATGTCAAAGGGCCCAAGAACCCCAAAGGGCCCAAGAAAAGACCAGCAGCAGGGCCCAAGGGTCCCTTGAAAGCCATGAAGATGAAGGTGAAAAAGGGAAGCGCAAACACGATGAAGGTGAAAAAGGGAAACGCAAAGGCGATGAAGGGCAAAAAGGGGCATGAGAAGGCAGTGCGCAGCATGAAGGCGGCAAAAACGGCACAGAAGCTTGCCTACCGTTTCATGTCTTCATCATCATCTTAGGGGTTGACCAGTGTGCCATGCACTGGGAAAAAAGGATCTTGCGGTGTGTGCAATTTACATGCATTGTATATCATTGTATGATGTAATTTAAGGTGCTTTCATTCACATTTTTGCGTAGTTGCTGTACACACCTTTTCTGGCATGAATGTGCGGCTTGTTTGGAAACAAACACATCCAAAAAATGATTTTGATGCTTTTGGGTCAAAACCATATTCAAGGCTCGCCTGAAGACAATTTTCTTTGACACCTTCACACGGACGGCTCGCCTCCGTGGTGTCCGTTGCCATGGCTGTCAACAAGTTGAAGGAGATGATCAACTTTTTGAAACAAGTTGGCCACATCAAGGACGCGGGGGTGCATGAAAAAATGCTCAGTGCATGCTTGGTCGACCTGGAAACTGGACCTGCGATCCAATTTCACGAGGCCACAGACATGCTACAAATTGTTCAAGAGGCTGAGATTGAAGGGTGGATGCGAGAAAAGATCCAAAATTTGGTGCAAACAAAAATGATTTCCAGCGTGGCCAGGGAGGACACAAAACGTGCTAGGGCAGTGCAGCAGCGGAATCTTTGGGTCTACAACTACCTGCTTGCGACGGAGTGGGATGTGTTGAGAAGCTCAAGCCACAGCTTAGACAGCAAACTTCAAGTTGTGAGCCGGCGGTTCGCCTGTTTGGGTTTGACGTCTCCTTCTGAGCCCACCTACAAATTGGGCGTTGCAATCCTCTTGCTGTCTTCACATTGTGGCCCAGTGGAAGATTTTACTTTGGATGTTGGGAAAGCCTTTGGTGTTCTGCATGACTTGAAGGCTTGTGTGAAGCTGGCTGCGAGGAGGGCCAAACACAGTGGCATCCAAGTCTACCCAAAGGATCCAAAGGAATTATCCGACGAAATGTTCAAGGCAGCCTACAGTTCCCTTGGGCCTATTCCCTGTCCCATTGACACCAACCTCTTGATGGACATCATGCCTGAAATTCCAGCGAGAAAAACTCATGGAAGTGTGAACCTGAGAGGTGTACGAAAAAAATCAGGTTTTGATGAAGAGGCCATGGGGGGCTTCATGATGAAAATGGCAATGATGATGGGTCAGCGTGGATGCAACCAATGGGCTTCACAATCCCCTGCACTCACCATGTTACAACCAAACAGGCGAAAACAACAACCATTGGCCTTGCAGGACGGCGTTGGTGAACATGACACTCCTCCAAAAACGTCTCCTCCAAGGACAGCGCCAGCAACCCCAGCAGTGTGTCTTGATGATGAGAAGGCAGCGGCAGCTGAGTTGAAAAGCGTGGACGACTTAGCAGAGGAAGTTCAAAACCAACTCAGAGCCAACAAAGGCAAGAGGAAGACTGTGGATGAAGAGGACGGGGAGGAGCCACAAGCCAAGAAAAAGAAACCAGCAGGTAAGGCAAAAGCAAAAGCCAAGAGCTCCCCAAAAACAGCAAAAGTGAAGGTGGGTCGCGATGACTTGCCATTTCCTGGGACGAAAGCCCAGGATCCTATCCTATATGGCAATTTTAGGATCTACACAAATCCTTCTTCATCGAAGTGGCGAGTCATCAAAAACGGCGAGAAGAAAGACAAAGCATTCAGCTTTAAGGTGGAAGACTCCAGAGTGGTTTGGGATCGCGTGGTGCAACACGTGAGGGGCGGGAAGAAGTGAAGAGGCTCGCCCTTCACAGCGTAATGACTACAGATCCGCAGGGGAGCGGTTGAAAAAGGTGTGAATGCATTTTGTGTGGAAGATTTCTGTGGTGTTTCTTGAACATTTTCCATGGGTGAATCTTCCAAAAAATTGACTTTATATTAAGCCAAGGGCGAGCCTCTTGGAATTTACATTAAGCCAAGGGCGAGCCTCTTGGACTATATAATATATATTCTAAAAAATTCTCTTGATTTTTTACAGTTTTTCGAAAACAACATTTTTTGAAAATGGATGTGAAAAAATGGCGCGCATCCAAACTTCCACCGTGCGCGTGCCTTTCTACGGAAACATTATTCTGAAACCACGGGGTGGTTCTCCACAAAAACTTCACACGAGGGCGCTCCAAAAAAATGGCACCCTATAGGGAACTTATAAGTTAGTTACGACAAGACCAGTAAGTTAAGATAAGCTATAGTTAGCAAAATAATATAAATCATACTTATATCTCCATAAGAGCCAAAACCGTTGTAGTAGATCCCTGGCCAAACGGCGGACGGGGCACAGAACTCATAAGTCCCTCTCGTTGGAGGGACGTGTGTGTTGGGCATATCAAAATGAAAGGTTCCAAATATTAACTTGTTAAGCGCTTGCATGTGTTCTCATTTTGTCAACTCTCGGGCTATTAGGACTTTCCACTACGCTTCAATTGCTCCGGACAGACAGCCGGACAGACAGGCTTTTTGCCACCTGTTTGTAAAAGGGTGCTAGTTGATCGCCACTGCTCTTCTTAGAAGCTCGGAAAGACGTGTGATGTTTCGTTGGGTATTGAAGACACGTTCCACTAGCGGGCAATGATATAGTGAAGCAAGCAGTGGACTAATCGCTCTCCAATCACTCTCGAGTGATCATATCGTCTAACTCCGAGTCCGACGTGTTCGGAGAGGTATCCCCAAACTCAAGATGCCGGTCCGCCACGATCTTCTTGTCGGAGACTCCTGGCGGTGATGTGACACCAAAACGGTTCCACACATCCTGCAACCCCAGTCCTTGAAGGTATCCACGGTGGAGACTGGACACCTGCGCTGGTCTTTGTTGGCTCCGTTTTGGGGGCGAATATGGTCGTCTTTCAATTCACATATGGTCATCAAACTGACAATTCACAGCGCGCCCAAAACAGAGAATGAGATACTGGCCTTGTAGGCAAACAAAACTGGATAGACTTGCGATCCGCGTAGACTTGGCTCGCCAGTCTCAGCATCCAGGGATCATGCATTGCGTTGTGAACCCTGGCGATGATCGAAATGCTCAAAAAGGCCGTCGAATGCCAAGAAGACTTCATCGTACATGACTTGCTCGGTTTTGCAATCTTGAGGATGATTGAGGATGAGATTGATGAGGAGCAGGAAGGACAGGTTGAAGGAGCAGCGGTGTAATCAAAGCTTGGCTAGTGTTTAGCATTGTGAGCTGAGGGCCAGACCACTCGACGCTTCCCAGATCGATCCCGGTATTTGCGGACCATTTGGATGGATTTCATCTTTCGGAGCCGGTTCAACTGTTTCCTGGAAAGCGGGGCGGGGTCCAGCTAGAAAATCAGGACAGACTCAGGGACACATCACATAGAATTCAACACGTTTTGAAGAAAGAAAGTCATCCGGCCTGCGCTCTGGGGTTATTGTAGCGCCAAACTCCCATAGCCATGGGGCTGTAGTGATCAAAATTGTTTTCTTCCTCAGTGCAAGTGGAACACAACAAACAACATTCCTGTAAATGGCTACCAATCTCCACCATCTATAGTTCTGCAAGTCTCTGGGTCGCAGCCCCCACTGCGCCCATGGAGATCTCCACAATGCGTGCCTTGTGTCTCCGGATCAGTTCCTTAGGAGCAACAAGGCGATGTAAACAGATTCCAATGACCCCTTGACTAGAATGACCCTGGCCTCCATTGGTTTGTAGTATGGCAGCAATGAGCTGCTGGGTTGCTCGATGGTCCAAAAGGCTCTTTTGGCCCGGATGTACTCCAACCTAATATACAGAGAAAGTGAAGGTTTTGTGAATGTTATCAATCCATGTTTTTCCATAGACCCATGATGTAAGAACAATTCATGCAATTGAGAAACATATATGTGAGGCGTCGAACCATTCTGTTCGCTTGCTTAGTGGAAGGTACCCGCCTTCCTTTCACCCGCAGTCTGCAGCGACCCGTGGACCCTCTCGATATCCACACCCAAGTGGAACATGGGGCACCAACCCAGCAGTGCCCATATCGATGCAGTCGCCTCCTGCAAACAGAAAAACAAAATGCTCTGTATTCAGAAGCCAACGAGGTTTTGTTGCAACATGAATCATTTCCTTTTCTGTTGCAACTGATTGCACCCAAGCCACACCAACTGAAATGCAATCAGTAGCCCAGCGCAAGTCAAAAGGTCATGGTGGCGACTGTACTCCACCTCACATGTGTTCCCACAATCCAAACACCAGCCAACCCTTTTTGCTTTTCTTGGCCTTTCAAGTCCTTTCCAAACCAGCCAAGGAACATCGAAAGCACTGGATGGCAGCCCATACTCCGCTGCTGCGCTGGCGATGCGATGCTTGCCAGCGCAGATTTCCACCACGGAAAGTGCCTCGTCTTCCTTTGGGTCGCCAAAGCCTTGGCCCATGCAACGGCGGGGTTCCAGTCAGATGTCGTTTGAAAAGCACAGGAGTTCGATTTTGGCCGGTCCCGAAAGCTAACCCCCACCACCCCTCCAGCAATACCAAATAATATATATACCCTTGTGACATGCAGGGGTCAGATTTTAAGGGTTCGCCCCAAATGGAAAAGCATGGTTGAGAACTTAAGCCAAGAAGGGGTCGCCACTACTCATACGAACGATGTTCGAGCAGCTCGCTAGGAGCATTGAAATCACAGCTGCAATCGCAGAATACTTCATGGCTCTGTAGGGTCGGCCGCAGGAAACACAACACAACATCATAAAGAAGTCTTTGAGTCTTGCCATAGCTTGAGATCTACGTGCAACATATTTTCTTATATATTACAACATATGTATAGGCAGATTATATATGTGTGACGCTTCACTTCAGCTTCCTACGAGGGAGAGACTTTTTCACCAGTGGGCCAGATGCTTTTGCTTTTGCTACTTTTGGGTCCGTCTTCTTTTTGGGGAGTGTCTTTTTGGGCAAAGCCTTAGGAGCCTTAGGAGGTACCACAGGTAAGGGCCCTGCTGCCACGTTCACCTTCGCAATCTGACCCGAGCCTTTCGACGTTGGCAGCAGCTTAGGCACCGGGGTAGGTTTGGCCTTTGGGACAGGGGGTGCACCTAGGTGGTCCTTGGGTACCGGTGCCGGCAAAAGTC